CAGAGACCTCCCAGCGAGCAGGAACCGAGGAAGGTGAGTGACAGAGGAAGATGCCCACCAGGGCAGATGGGGGCGGGGGGTGGGACATGGGAGGGTCTCCAGCACACGGCCCCACCGGCATCCTGGCCACTGGGAGAGCGTCTGGCCTGTGGTGCAGGAGGGATGGTCCATCTCAAGACACCCCACTCCACACTCCCCAGGCCACCTCCTGACTGGGTTTCCTGGTTATCAGATACTGAAGAGGGGGTTCCCCCAAAAGAAGGGGGTTGCCTTTCCCCACCCCCTGTAAGGTGGGTGTCAGTCGATGGCAAATAACATCCAGACATGTGTGATGCTGGCAAGCATCCGCTTGGCCCCAAGAGCAGAGCGACTCTGAGCAGAGAGGCCATTGGTTTCCACCTCGGCCCGTGGTGACTGAACCCACTGTGGCCTCTAAGAAGTCCCGGCAGCAGCAGGCTGGGGCTCCAGCATCACATCTGAACTGTTCCTCCCCATGACTGCCGGTAGATCTGACACTAAACCACTGCACCTGTGGTAAACCACTGGCCTCGGGTTCCCACCTGCAACGGGAGTGGCCAGAGTGACCATCTTCTGGGGCCTCTGCCTCCACCACGGGAGGAGTCAGGGGAGAAAGGGGAAAGTTGAGGGGACCATCCTGGGACAGACAGGTGATGGGGAGAGGGGCACAAGATCAGGGTCCCCACCTCTCTTTCACATGACTGTGGGTTCCCTCAGGGAGGGTGAGCCTGACGTCTAGCTCTTTGCTGCATCGCCTATTATTTCTAAAAAGTAAAGCACAATGTAGTGTTCTAAGTTATGTTGAACAAACGTTGGGATTAAGAAGAACAGAAAATCAAAGGAATATTTCACAATACTGAGAGCGTAATAATCACCTACACCTTCAGTTTTCCACACAGGTTTGCACTCCTTAGTCTTCCAAGCCCCACGGGGCTGTGAGGTAACATCATTCCTCCACATCACAGCCAAGGACACTGAAGCGAGAGGATGTGGCTGCAAGAGGGGCTCAGGACAGAGCCTGGCACTAATGAAGACCAGGAGGAGCAGGTGTGCCCAATGGCAGACCTCTAGTCTACCCAGAAGTGATGCTCTACACATGGATAATAACTCATAGAGATGGCGGTGGGGGGGAGATGAGCATGACCTTTTTGGGTTAAATGAGTTAATATATATTAAAATATTAAGATGAAGATAATTTATGCCTAACCCAAACAATAATGTTAATAATAGAACTTATATGAGAAGAATTACAGAAAGAATCAGAAAACAAAATCCAACAATTTGCTGTTTATAAGTTACAGATATATAGCAAAATATGTACACAAATTTTAAAAATAAAATGCCGAGCTAAATAAACTCTCATGCAAATGCAAATTCAAAAAAAGCAAGGGGCTTCCGTTATGATATTTGGAAAAGAGAAGTTGAAGCTAGAAGCATTAAAAGAGGCAAAGAGGGCACTAAAAGGCACAGTTTTTCGATATGTCACTATTAAACATATATGCCCCAAACATGGTAATTACTTGATCATTTGTACCCTGCCTATTTCTTAAGAAGATAACTGCACGACTCACAAAGCAACAACATACATAAAAAAGAAACAGAAATTAAAGCAAAATAGAAATACGTAAAGAAAAAAACACACAAAATCAGACTGTGATTTGACTAGGTAAATGAGTGTTCTTACCTACTTTGGGGTCACAGAGCCCTTCCAAAATGTAGTGAGTGCTACAGACCCCCCTCCCAGAATAATTTATGCACGCACATATCCACACAGCTTTGTTCAATGCCCGGCATCCATGACCTCTGAAACCCCTGCATGCTCATGGACTCCCAGGCAGTCCTTGGACCCCAGGTTAAGAACTCTGAAGTAAAGTTAGAGAGAGTATGGATTTGAATAAAGTAACATAAAAACTGATTTAACAAATAGAACTGATGGAGTAAAAACACGTTTCTTGAGAGTACACAAATGTCTTATAAAAACTGATAATATATTCAGGCCCAGAGAAGTTCTATGGATACTTAGAAATGCTGACACCACTATGTACCATAAGAAGTAAAAGCCATAACCTCAGCAGTCATCACTGGGAAATATTAAATTAATAATAACAATAACAATAACAATAGTTGGGCCAAAGGGAAAGTCCTAAGGACAACAGCAAAAGACAACACATGTCAACATTACGGAGTGCAGAAAAAGCTCTAACTGTAAGAAAAAAATCATAGGCTAAAGTACCCCCATTTACTAGAAATATTAAAAATGATTAACTGTATCTAAATAATCTTAAGAAATGTAAAGTATTAAGTCAAAAAAAAAAAAGAAAGAAAAGAGCAGAATACATGTACTTTGACAAACAATTCAATTAGTAAACAGAACCAAGAACTGGACCTTTGCAACACTCAACAACTAAAAGAAGGAAAAAATGTAAGACAATAAAACAAAAACAAACAACTAAACTCAAGGATGATTAAAGTATTACCAAGATGATCTCTTATAACATCACACTGTTTGAGAACCTAAATAAATGAAAAGATTTAAAAATACAGGGCTTCCCTGGTGGCGCAATGGTTGAGTGTCTGCCTGCCGATGCAGGGGACGCAGGTTCGTGCCCTGGTCCAGGAAGATCCCACATGCCGCGGAGCGGCTGGGCCCGTGAACCATGGCCGCTGAGCCTGAGTGTCCGGAGCCTGTGTTCCGCAACGGGAGAGGCCACAACAGTGAGAGGCCCGTGTACCGCAAAAAATAAAAATTAAAAAAATTAAAAAATAAAAATACATAAGAAATCAGTGAAAGAATTTGAACTGAAAGAACAAGGTTCTGCTCACACTTCCTACAAAGAAAGTACCTGCCTGGTCTGACCATGGTTTTGTGAGAGTCTGTCAACCCTTCAGAAAGGGGGTCTTAATCTCCATGTTACATAGTCAAAAGGAAGAAAGGGGAATGTGGGGGAGGAAGAGAAAAAGTGCATATTCAAAAATGTGAGAACAGCATAAATGAGCTGAGAAGCTGGGCGTGAGTGGGGTGCATCTGGGTGTGGTGGGAACACCGAGACGCTTGCTCGCGCGGGTAACCCAGGCTGGCTAAAATGGGGGTCTACGTGCAGAAGACCCCTGAAGGTTGGTTTTAAGGAGAGTGGTGACATGTGCAAAGTGATGCCTGAAAAAAAAAATTTGGCTGGTGCACAGTGTGCAGGGAGAGACATCAAAGGTAGGAAGCAGACAACTGGCAAGGCTGAGGCCGAATGCGGGGACAGCAGGGGGTGAGGAGGTAGATCTTGGGGGGATAATGTCCCACCTGCACTGAGCAGGGGTGTCAGTACTCTCACTGGTGACCGAAGACCATCCGTGCAGGCTGCCTGCAGACAGTGCCTGGCACTGCCCGGTCGGGCTGGTCCACCTGCTCATGCAGAGGCTCTGCTGGGGCCTGGAGAGCTGGTTCAATGCTCCACAGACTCACACAGCAGAGAGGAGCTGGACAGAGCCGATCTTCCCAGCCCAACAGACCTGTCGTTTTACCATCTCTGGCCTACCAAGTTCCACTTAAGAAGTAACCACTATGGCTTTCCCATTTTCATTCATCTAAACTATACACAGCTGCCCAGCTGAGCTTCTCATAAGCTGAAATAACTAGTGTGACCATGATGGGTTCGTGGGATTTCAGCCAGAGACTCAGAAAGCTTCAAAATAGCTCTGACTGCGAACTCCCCACACTAGCTCTGAGGAGCCCGGGGAGCCAGAACTAAAGATCCTCGTGGACACACAAAGGCCTGGGACAAATGCTTACCAACCAGCCAGACACGGCACTGCCTGAGCCCATCCCTGGGGTGGTGGGCAGAGATCTGAGACAGGATGGCCACCTTCAAGCTCTGCTCTGGACGATGCCATCTGGGAGATGCTGGGGCTGCCTGGGAGCCAGCATGGGCTCACAGCCTGCTATGCAGGGGAACCTTCTAATCACCTGGGGAGCTTTAAAAACATGCCACTGTCGGAGCCCCACCTCTGGGGATGCCCAACTGAACTGGTCAGGGCAGGACGCAGACAATGGTCCCCATTAAACAACCCCCAGTGGGGAGGACAGAGAGAAGGATAGGACGCAGACACACTGCCGCTGCGGGGATGGCGTGCAGGAAGTGTCCTGCCCAGGGCGCCGCACCCAGGACACAAGCTGGAGGGAGGGAGGGAGGGAAAGCCTGGCTGAAGGGGGGGGCCCTGCCATGTCGGGAACCAGACAGGGATGCACCTCCCCTGCAGGTGGGGCAGCGGTCACTGTGGGTCTCCATCCTCAATCGCCAGCCGACAAAGCACGTTCATGCGTGGTCCCACTCTGAACAGGAGCCTTGCGCCAGCCCTTAGGGGAATGTGGCCAGTCCCAATATGCCCACCTCACGGAAGGGGTCACCAAGGTGAGGGAGGGGCCAGAACTGGAACTTGAACCCAGACCTGACCGAATCACCTTCCATCCCCTTGCACTGGAGGGTGGAGGGGAGGCTGCAAAGCACCGACCAGAGACGGGCCCCGATGATGTCCAAGGCACACTGTGGTTGGGGCCCTAGGTCTGGTGGAGGGTTACCCCCGGGTAGGCAGTGAGCCTTTGCCCAGGCTGAGCCAGAGCCAGGCTGCACCTTCCGCCGGCCTCCAGGACCACGCCTCCACCTCCTGGAAGAGCTGCCGGCCAGAACGGCCCTCAGCTAACCCACGTCAAAGGCTGAGAGAGCACAAGGGGGCCTTACCCCCACACCCAAGATGAGTCCTCCAGACCCTCCCTCTGCTCTGTCACCTGAGCTGGCCGTCCCCACCAGTGCCCGAGGTGGGCTGCTGACGCGTCTACTTTGGATCCATTTTCCTTCAGTTGATTGGACCGCGAACACGGTTACTTCTTCTAAAAGTGCCTGATGTTAGAGCTCATCTGACATTTTCATGGGTTTAACTCCACTTTCTCCCTCTGACGTTTATTCTTCTTCTGGATTCTGGAAAAAGCGAATAGAGGGCAAAACTAAACCCCATTGGGTCACAGGTGAGCACGAGACAACTGAGAGCCAGCTCTGCCCTGGTGCCCCGGCCCTTGGCCTCCCTCCCCACCCTACCCAGTCCCCCTGCTGGGCCAGGGCCGCAGACGGGGGGCCGGACCCTGCCACCAGGGTGGGCGGGCATTTCCAGGAGGCACTGGTCTGGGGAGGCGGGCAGGCCTCACAGATGAGCGGGGGGCCAGGCTCCAGCTGGCAGAGGCACGGGCCATGGCACCAGCCCCTCCTCTAGAGCTTGTCCCCCGCATGGACCTTCTGGTGGCGGATGAGGTGCGAGCTGCCCCGGAAGGCCTTGCCGCAGCGGTTGCACTCGTAGGGCCTCTCCCGCGTGTGGGTCTTGTAGTGCTCGATGAGGGCCGAGCGGTGCCGGAAGGCCTTGCCGCACTCATTACACACGTAGGGCTTCCGGCCCGTGTGGATGCGCTGGTGCTGGATGAGGGCCGAGCTATGGCAGAAGGCCTTGCCGCACTGGCCACACTCGTAGGGCTTTTCGCCGGTGTGGATGCGCTGGTGCTCGATGAGCGAGGAGCTCTGGCTGAAGGCCTTGCTGCACTTGTGGCACTTGTAAGGCTTCTCGCCCGTGTGCGTCTTGCGGTGCTCGATGAGGTTGGAGCTCTGGCTGAAGGCCTTCCCGCACTCCTCGCATGCATACGGCTTCTTGCCTGTGTGGATCCTCTGGTGCCGGATGAGGTGGGACCGGTGGCAGAAGGCCTTCCCACAGAGCTCGCACTCGTGCGGTTTCTTCAGCGTGTGGATCTTCCGGTGCTGGCTCAGGCCCGAACTCTGGTTGAAGGATTTCCCGCACTCCTTACATTGATAGGGCTTCTCCCCGGTGTGGATGCGCTCGTGCTTCCGGAGGCTCGAGCTCCGACTGAAGTCCTTGCCGCACTCCCTGCACGCGTACGGCCTCTTCCCGGTGTGGGTCTTCTGGTGTTGCGCGAGTGCAGAGCTCTGGCGGAAGGCCTTGCCGCACTCCCTGCACTCGTAGGGCTTCTCCCCCGTGTGGATGGCCTGGTGCCGTAGCAGGTGCGAGCTCTGGCTGAAGGCCTTGCCGCACTCACAGCACTCGTAGGGCTTCTCCCCCGTGTGGATCACCAGGTGCCTGAGCAGGTGTGAGCTCTGGCTGAAGGCCTTGCCGCACTCGCGACACGCGTAGGGCTTGGCTGGCTGTGCAGTCCTGTGAGGCCCCTCGGGTCCCGAGTCCCCCCTGCCCGCCGTCTCCCCATCGGGCTTACCAGACGCTTCCTCGCTGTGGGTTATCTGGCACATACTCAGGTCTGATTTCTGGAGGAAGGTTGGGCTGGACGGCTCATCGTCCTGGGGTCTGTCTCCTGGGGGGATGCTCTGATGCTGGATGGGGCTTGAGCACAGACTGATATTCCCCTCATAATCGTCCTGCTCCCCCAGAGGGATCTCCTTGTAGATGACAGCCATCTGTGCTAAACCCCTTTCCTGAAGAAAAGGGTCCCCCGGGTCCTCCTCCGGGAAAAGGTTTGTCTGCATCTCCAACCCATCCTCAAACACGAAGGCCTCACCCAGCTTGGCTGCCGGGGGAATATCCATTGTGGGTCCGGGCTCACCCCTAGTGACTGTTTCTCTTTGGGACACACTTACTGCTCTCAGATTCTGAAAAGAAAACAAGAGACACTGTCAAGTCAGCAAGTCAAGCACCTAGTAGGTGCCAGAGTCTAAGGCAGATATAACCAAAGACACAATCTTGCCCTTGAGATGGTCCTTACTGAGTTAAGAGACAAGTCTGACTTACCAGAAACAACTGCAAGGAAGACAGACAGACAGACAATGACACACTGTGGTGTCCAGACTCTAAAGGCTCAGGGTGTCCAGAAAGGTGGGCAAGGACAGGAAGTGGAGACATTCTGAAAAAGGGGCAAGACTCCAGCTACCAGAGGAGGTTGGGGCTGGGGTTTTGTTGGGAAAGAGAGAGCACACTCCTACGGTCGGTCGGCTGCAGGCCTCCAGCCCAGAGCCCCAGCCAGAGCCCTGGGAGTCAGCCCTTCTCATTCCCGCCGGCACACCCCGTCCTGTCCACTTCCCGTTTTTACTGAAGGGGTCTCTCCCTCTCTCCTTGCTGCCACTGGGCAGCTCAGGCCTCCGTGTGACTCACCTCCCCGCTGGCTGCCTACCTCCAGCTTCCCCCCTCCCCCCAGCCCGTTCTCTACGTGGATGCCAAGGTCAAACGCCCAAAACACAGTCCTAATCGTGGCATCCCCCTTCTCAGGAGCTTGCAGCAGCCCAAGTCCTCCACACCCGGCCATGTGGCCCTGTCGCCTGCTTCTCCTTCCACACATCCCCAAACTTCCAGCTCCACCACTCACACATGCTGCTGTTTCTTCCTCCTGACTGGTCCCCACTCTTCTCACATGGCCACTTGCTCATCCTTCCAGACTCAGTTCAAATGTCCCCTCTTCCCTGCACCCTCAGACTCTGACAATCTTGGGCACGTGGCCTTGGTGACCGTGGAGCACGGGGCATATGTCCATCACAGCACTCACCACCTGGAAGGCAAATGTCATGGCAGGACTTTCCCCACCACCGCCTGCGAGCTCCCCAAGGGCAAATCCGGGGCTCCGCCATATTGGAATCCCCAGCTCCCAGCACAGCCACTCAATCATTACACACACATTTATTGAATAAATAAATGATTGAATGGAGGAAAAGTTATTTGTGTTTGTGTTAGAACTGCTTACCACACTTTTTTTTTTTAAAGGATTTTTTTTTTTAATTTTTATTTATGTATTTATTTATTATTTTTGGCTGTGTTGGGTCTTCATTTCTGTGTGAGGGCTTTCTCTAGTTGCGGCGAGTGGGGGCCACTCTTCATTGCGGTGCGCAGGCCTCTCACTGTCGCGGCCTCTCTTGTTGCAGAGCACAGGCTCCAGACGCGCAGGCTCAGTAGTTGTGGCTCACGGGCCTAGTTGCTCCGCGGTATGTGGGATCTTCCCAGACCAGGGCTCGAACCCGTGTCCCCTGCATCGGCAGGCAGATTCTCAACCACTGCGCCACCAGGGAAGCCCCACACTTTTATTTTATTTTGCCAAAAGTACTCTTTATTCAAATAAGTCAATTACCTGGGAGATATGAATAAATGAAACATACAAAAGCAGAGCTGCTCCGGTCGAAGGGGGTATTTTCAGAGGGACAAGGAAGGAGGCTAGAACACCCCACTCAGCCCCCCAACCCACTGTGGGGGCCCAGAGGGAGCCCCGCAGGACCCCATCCACAAACTGCTATGCAACCTCCAGGGAAACTCTTCAGGTACCATAATGATGACAACTCGAGTTTATTGAGCAACTACTGTGTGCAAGGCACAGCTAGACCTTTTACAAGCATATCTCATGTACTCCTCAGGACTCCATACAAAGGTACTATCATCCTTACACTGAAGTCAGAGAGGAACTGCCTCAAAAAGACATACTAAATTAATCAGAATAGTCATGATGGAAATCATTCCTATTTAGAATTTTTTTTTTAATGAATTTTCAGCCAGTAGAAAGGCCAGGTGTGAAAAAAAGCACAGAACTGCAATATCCTCAAGAAGCCTGTGTCAGACTGCCCTGGTGGTGCAGTGGTTGAGAATCCACCTGCCAATGCAGGGGTCGTAGGTTCAAGCCCTGGTCCGGGAAGATCCCACATGCCGCGGAGCAACTAAGCCCGTGTGCCACAACTACTGAAGCCCCCACGCCACAACTACTGAAGCGCGCGTGCCTAGAGCCCGTGCTCCGCAACAAAAGAAGCCACCGCAATGAGAGGTCAGTGCACCTCAACGAAGAGTAGCCCCCACTCGCGGCAACTAGAGAAAGCCCGTGCACAGCAACAAAGACCCAATGCAGCCATAAATAAATAAATAAATAAATTTATTTTTTTTTAAAAAAAGCCTGTGATCACTCCCACTCCTCTTCACAACCACAGTCTCCACTCCCCCCCACCTCACCCGACCTCCTCAAACCTCACGTCCCATTTTCACCCTGGTCCACCCCTTCCCCATCTAGCTTAGACTACAGTGGGTCTAACTATGGGCATCACTTCAACCAGCTCGCTGACCAGCATCACATTCCTCACCCCCCTGCCCTGCCACTAACTACCCACCTCCTCTGCCAGCTCCTCCTAAGATGCTGAATGTTGCCAAGGAAAATCATACGACTGTGTCTGGCACGGAGACAAACTTCAAGTTTCCAATTTCAGCTGGGACTTCAGCTCCAGCATCTAATGACCTCCTTACAGCCAAGCCCTCTCTTCTGGGTCCTCACTTCCTCTCCTCTCTGGAAGGCCTCCCCAAGACATCCCTCTCAAAACCCTTCATTTCAGAGACTGCAAATTGGCACTCTGGGGATCCTGCCACAGACACATTGTGTTTGACTCTCAAAGAGTCAGGCTTTTCCTTTTTGTTTGACTTAGCTGCCAATATTTAAAACTCAGTAGGTTTTCTCATGAAAAACTGGACGATGTGACAATACGAGCCCACCCTTCACTAACCCACGTTGCTGGCCAACCTACCCCACTCCCACGCCCCACTTCATCCCCTTGGTTTCTTTTCCCCCCCAAATTTTCATGCCCTCTGACCCCTCTTTCTCTGTATCTGGATATTGTGCCTCCACCCACCTGCTAAATCCTGGTGTTTCCGAGGTTCCCTCCTCGGGGGTTTTCCATTCCCACTATGTACCAGCTACACGCTGAAGTCTCCACTGTGTTGAAAAAGTTAGCGATACTTTATCTGTGACCAACGATGTTTTAAATATTTTGGGACCGAAAATCCAAAGGTCTGGAACCCCACACTTCCCACCTCTCTCTGGCCTTCCCCGGCTCCTCCTGCCTCCGTCACTCCATCCTCCTGAGACCCCCAGGGCCTGGGCACCCGGCCGACCCTCGGGCCGGTCAGGGCCTCCTGGCTGGAGGCCAGCGAGCGGCCGCGGACCCGCACCTGCTTCCACGGACGGGGGCCGCCCCCACCTACGCCACCGGAGGGAGAGGTGGCCACACTGGCTGCCGCGGAGCCACTCACCTAGGCCGGGGCGGGGCCGCTCACCTGAGCGGGGGCGGGGCCGCGGGCGAGCAGGGCGGGGCCGCACCTGAGCTGCTCCTGCCCGCGGCCGTGGCCTCGCTCGGCTGCGGCTGCTGACGCGGAGCCCGCGGCTGCCCGAGCGCCCGAGCCCCGCCCCCTCCCCCGGCACTTCCGGGACCGCTCTAGGCCGCGCGGAGGCCAGTGTCTCGCTGGTCCCGCCGCGCAGTACGTGTCTCCGCCTGGACGCCGGGATCCGGGTCGCAGGACTGGGGTCGGGAGGGGTCGTCCAGTCGACTCAGGGGTCCGGGCCGTCCCCGAGCGCGTCCCGGCTGGGCGGGCGTTGGCGGGAGCGCAGAGGAGGAAACTGAGGCCGGGAGGGGCGGCCGGCTCCTGGGCACCTGTCCTGGGGGTGGGGCCGGCCAGAGGCCTTGAGGCGGCTGTGTCGCCGGGAGAAGGGCAGGTGCGCTCAGGGCTGCGGAGCCCGTTACCCCGCGCAGGCCCGGGGTCCTGCTGCAATTCTCCCTCCCTTCCTGGGGAGCTCTGGTCCTGCTTGCTCACCTCGTCCCCGCAGAGACAAATGAGGAGAGCCCGGAGAGGGCCCAGGAGATGGCTGGGAGCCTAGGCGGGACCCTCTGTGGACCCCACCTCTGCATCTGAGGGATGGCCTCCGTTCAGGTGGCGCCTCTTAGGGGAACCGGGAGGGAAGCGGGGTGTGTTCTTCAGCCCCCGACCCCCCTCCCAGAGCTCACTTCTGCTTCTGGTGGCAAGACTTGCCCCTCTACCCAATGATGGCTGCTGCCCATTCTCCCCCTGCCATCTGCCCACCTGTCTTCAGCACCTTCCGTCCTGGCCCTCAGGTGCCTCCTAGCCCCATCCAGGAGTAGGCAGGGGCTCCTAGGGACCCAGTCCACTGACCCTGTGTGTGTTGGACCACAACCAGCCATGCAGAGCTGGGACCAGCAAGGGCTGGTTATTTTTTCTCTCACTCCAGCTCCTCCAGTCACAGGAAGGCAAGAGCCACCATTCTGAGCCCCCTGGGGGCTGGTAGGGAGGTGGGGCCCCACCCAAGGGTCTCAGGTGCTTCCCCTTCTGCAAAAATCCCCAGAATCCCTACCCCCACACTCCCAGACCAACCACAGTCACTTTTTATTTTTATTATTTTTATTGAGCTTTTTTTTTTTAACATCTTTATTGGGGTATAATTGCTTTACAATGGTGTGTTAGTTTCTGCTTTATAACGAAGTGAATCAGTTATACATATACATATGTTCCCATATCTCTTCCCTCTTGCATCTCACAGTCACTTTTTCAGCCAGGATCTCATGGCCCTCAGAATAGTTACTGTTGACATGTTGATTATTAACCCATTTTACAAAGGAGGAAAATCAAGGCTCAGAGAAAGGGAGGGTCCCAAGGTCAGGAGCATAAGTGGGAGGCAGACAGAAGGCACTCATCCCACACCCCACCCCTAGGGTATGTAGCCCACGGAGCAGTAATAATCTGCAGCGTCTTCAGGCTGCACGGGGCTGATGGTCAGGATGCAGGCATTATGGGCTGCATCCGTGGCTGCCGAGAAGCGGTCAGGGATGTCAGGGGGGCGGTGGTTGTCCTCCTCTGAGCGGTAGTGGAGGAGCAAGCGGGGGGCGCTGCCTGCCCGCTGCTGATACCAAGACACGCCGTAGTCCCCGACCGTGGCATAGCGGGGGCTGAGCATGCAGGAGAGTTGGGCCACTTGGCCTGGGAAGACCAGCAGTGTGTCCGGCTGGGTGAGGGTTGGCTGGGAGGCTGAGAGAGACAGACACACTCAGGTCTTGCCTGGGCCCCTTCCTTCCTGCCCCTGCCCCACAAAGTCTTGGTCAGACTCCCAGGAGAATCCTCTCCCAAAAGCTCACAGCCCGGTGCCATGGGATCATCAGTGGGTGGGGCACAGAGCTGGCGACCCCTAAACCCCCATTAGTGTCATGTTCCCAAGGAGCCATGTTCAGCTAAGGATCTAGAGTTCAGAGGGTGTGCTGGTGGTCTCTGGGCTGCCCACCCTCATCCCTTGCCCTTCAGACCCCTATCACTTTGGTCACACTGGCTTGTCCAAACCCTGGCTACAGACTGATGACCCCCCAAGAAGCCTCCTGGGCTGTTACTACCCATTGGCTCAGCCTCCGGCCACTGGCTGCTGAAGAACCTTCTCAGGGTTAGCTTGTCCCTGAGGCCCTGTGGGGTAGGAACCAGCCCACACCAGCTTCCCCTCTGAAAAACTCAAAAGATGATGAGTCTCTGAGACCCCCAAGAGTCAGAGTCCAAAGGGACCCTAGCAATCTGGTCATTCACAAATGGGGAAACTGAGGCCCACACAGAGAAGTGACTTGCCTCAAGTCTGGGGCAGGGCCACCTGTGGCCGTTTCTCCTCTCCACCTCAAGGACCCTTCCAAAACCTTCCCCACTGACCACATGGATTTGCTTCCTTACAGGGGGCTTCCAGAGCCAGTGTGCTGTCTCCCACTCCACCCCTGGGTGAGCAAGGCCCAGGGAGGGCTCACCTGCTAGGAGGACCCCAATCAGAAGGAGGGCCAGATGCTGACAGGCCATGGCCAGAGGCAGGGAGGCAGGTGGGAGTCGCTTGTTGGGCTTGCGCTGGGCGTGCTCCAGGTGCTTCAGGGCACACTGGGGAGGCTGCTGGACCACGACAGAGCATGCAAATCAGCCCACTGACACGGTGGGAGGGTGGTGCTGGGGCCCAGCAGCCAGACCTTATCTTCCCAAACGTCAGCATCCCAGCCGCACAGGGCCTTCTTGAGAACAGAAGCCCGGAAATCCACATATGCAGTTAGAGCAGGTGGCTGCTCTTCACTGAGGTATAACTCATACGGTCAAGTGCACAAATCTTACATGTATGGCTCAATGATTTTATATATATATCCCTGCAGCCTCTACCCAGACCAAGATTTAGAACATTTCCATCACCCCAGAAGGCTCCCTCATTCGCCTCCCCTGCCAGTAACACCCTCTTAGCCCCGAACAGTAACCAAGTGGGACTCTGTGGTTAATCAGTTTTGCTGTAGAACGTCAGCTATAAATGGAGTGATAGTGTGTCCTCTTTTGTTTCTGCTTCTTTTGTTAAACATTATGAGTCATCTGTGTGTGCAGCAATGTTTAATTCGTTGTCACAGCTGTGTGTAAGCCACTGTGTGGATAGCCACAGTTCGTTTATCCATCTCCTGTTACTAACCATTCGGGTGCTTTCATCTTTGGCTATTTCAAGGAGAACTGCTGCGAGCATTCCTGCCTGTGTCATTGGTGCACCTGAGCTCTGGTTTCTGCTGGGCAGACACCCAGGACAGGGAACGTTTCCGTTTAGTGTTGTGTTTTTTTTGGCCGCATCGCACCATGCAGCATGCGGGATCTTAGTTCCCCAAACAGGGATCGAACCCGTGCTCCCTGCAGTGGAAGCGCAGAGTCCTAACCACTGGACCACCAGGGAAGTCCCCTTTCTGTTTAGTTTTAGTAGATACCGCCAGGGTTCCCGACATGGTTGTGCCTATCTGCACTCCTGTTGTGGGCAAGAGAGTTTGCCAAACCGAGGGGAGCTGACTTTGGTTGGGATTCAACCCGCGTTGGGATTCAAACCTGAATCCCAGATCCTCCTCCTCTTGACTGCACAACTTCAGCCAAGTTCCCCTCTCTGTGCCTCAGTTTCCTCATCTGGAAACAAAAGACGAGCATTGTGCCAGCCCAAGTGTTGTGAAGATGCAAAGATAGGACTTTGTGGGAGTTCCTTGGTTGCCTAGTGGTTAGGATTCTGGGCTTTCATTGCGTGGCCTGGGTTCAACCCCTGGTAAGGGAACTGAGATCCCACAAGCTGCATGTTGCAGCCAAAAAAAAAAAAAGAAAAACAAAAACAAAAACATAGATAGGACTTTGTGTGTATTAATCATGCCTTTTATATTCTCTATCCTGATGCTTTGACATCTGGGGCCTTGCTGACCTTGGATGGACAGGCCCTCCCAGGGTCAGCCAGTTCCTAGAGACAGTAACACTTTTCAAATGCAAACCAACCATTCCTGAGTCCACACTCCCCGCCCCCCCCCCCACCACCTCCCCTACGGGGCTCTCTCATTGGGCCACTGCCCTCCTGACCTGTCACCCAGGGCAAGTACCAGACAACCAGGGACGGTTCCTGTGCCCCAGAGCATGAAGTTATTCCAAACAGCCAACCCTGAGCCTGCTCACCCCACCTCACTGTTCCTTCCCTCAGAAACCACAATAGAGGCTCCCGCCCAGAGTTCCCCCCCTCTCTCTGCCTCCTGACCAGCCCTGGTGCTTTCCCATGTGGCCTCCCGCACCATGGGGTGCCATGCCTCCTCCACTTGGGAACCATAACAAACCAGCTTCTCAATGGCAATCATCTCCTGATCTGCTGGCCTTACCAAATACCTAAAAAATAATAAAACAAGTTAAAGCAGTGTGCTCTCGTTACTTTGTAGCCTTGAGAGCTCGCTTGGGGAAGGTTACAAAGCTCCCACTGTGTGTCCCACTCCAGTCCTAACACCTCCTTAGAGCACCTCCATGACACTCAAGACAAAAGATCCCTCCTCAGTGGCACTAAAGACAAACCCCTCGGAAAACAGAGGGGTGGTCATTGGAGCTGAGGGTCCAGGCCGGGAGTTCCATTCCTTCCAGAATCTGGCTGCAGCCACTCCTGGGCTGTGTTCTGCAGGACACGGGTCCCCAGATTTTGGAAGAAAGTGCCCTGCCTGTAAGTTTGGGAAACGCTGCCCCAGGGCTTTCCCCAGTGCTGCCTCTGAGCGCCTGCTGCAGGCTGAGCACCCAGGTAGCACTCAAAAGGGTTAATTGCGTTCCGTCCTCACGCTAACTTGCCCGTGGTGCTGTGAGCGGTGTGAGTGGTGCCGTGAGCGGTGCCTCTCACTGCTTTACAGGCGTGAGCACTGAGGCAAGTCCTGTCCAGAGGCAGAGTGATGCTGATGAGCTGCGGGGAGGATCTGGGCCTCCTCCTGCCTCCCGCCTTGAGCTCTGCCTGCAGAGGGTGGATGAATAGTGTAATCACCGGGGAGCAGTGGCAGGGCAGCTAAGAAGGAGGTATCCTGACCCGCCATGAGTCCAGAGGCCCAACCACAACCAGACGGAAAGAGGGGCAATGCAAACGCTGCCCACGCTGGAAAACAATGGCAGTTTCTTACAAAGTTAAACATACTCTCCCCAGAGGACCCAGCAATCCCTCTTGCTGAGGTTTACAGTAGAGAAATGGAAACGTCTCTTCACCCAGAGACCTGCTGGTGAGTGTCTGTACTGGCTTTACTCATAATCACCCAAAACGGGAAACAATCCAAACAGCAGCAGGTGAGTGGATCCACAGACCGCGGCACCTCCAGGCAGTGGGACCCTCCCGGGTGATGAAAGGAAGGACCCATTGACACCGGTTGACTACCCCGTGAATCCTGCACGCATGGAGCTAGGTGAAAGCAGCCGCACCTGAAAGGCTCCGCACTGTCTGCTGCTTCCCTCTCTGGGACGCGACAGTCTGGAAGAGGTGGGGGCAGGGAACACTGCAGCGCTTGCCAGGGGCTGGGGTGACCACAAAGGGGCATGAAGGAATTTGGGAGAGTGATGGAAATGTTGTGTATCCAGACTGGTGGTGGTTCTGTGAGACTTGTCACAACTGGAAAACACTCAAAAGTGTTTTGTTCACTCAAAAGTGAATTTTACTGTCTGTAAACCATAACTCAATAAACTTGACTAAGAAAGGAAAGAAACAAGGACAGAAGAGAGGGAGGCTGGGAGTGAGCCCAGGGCAGGGGGCCTTGAGTTGATAGGGAGCCTGTGAGGTTGGTGAGGATCCCGCTTCTGCTACAGCCACGCCAGCACCCCACCCCCAGGAATCTCCCCTGCTTTCAGCCTGGAAGCTCTGTCTCTACCGGTGAGGGGATGTGGTCTCTGGACATCCCTGGGCGCTGAGGCTCCAGCCCCCAATAGAGCCTTGCGTCAGGGAATGTCCGGACCCTCCCCAGAGCCCGTTACCAGGATACTGGGGGGAAGGCATTTCCTGCCTAGACCTCTTGGCAGCTCCCACTCCCATGGAGACCAGCTTGGAAGCTGGGAGGACCTGAGTCTTCTCTGTACTCTGATCTAGCTAACGGGAAGAAGAGGAGGCAAGGCTCCTGGACTAGCTGCAAGGACCCCCTGGGCTGGTGGAGCCCAGCCCCAAGGGCGGCTGAGCAGGGAGCTGGACTTGGACCCACCCACCCACCCATCACTCCCCCATCCCCGACACACACATCTCCCGCAGGGCGCCACATGGGGTAGATCTCAGCCCCAGCTCCTTCCTTAGTCAGGAAGTTGGCGGTTGGGGGATCAAAGCCCCCACATCTGTCTCCTCCCCCCTGCAGCCATGTTTATCACGGTGATGTCTGGAGGTAAGGGGGGTCCCCTGTCCCGGAAGACTGGTGGGGGTACATTCCCTCTGCCTTGAGGGAGAGTAGGGAGGCGGCGAGGGGAAGGGGTACACATGGGAAGGGATGGGAGCGTCCGCGGAGAGTCCCTTGAGGGGAAACCCCGGCTGGGTCCTGGGAAATGCACGTGGGCTCCTCTAGGAGCGCACGGGCCACGCAGCCACCAAGCCGCTGCTGTGGAGCAGATGCTCAAACTGCTCCATCCCTTAGCTGGTCAGTGGTCCTCCAGCTTCAGGGGGCATGAGGCACCTAAAGCTCTAGCCCCAGCTGCAGATTCCTGACCTTCTGGTGGAGGCGGGGCTGGTGCAGGGTAGGGGGTGAGGGGCTGTCAGGTGCCGGAGGTGGGGCTGAAGTGGGAGGGGAGGGTCGCGTGAGAAAGAAGTTGTGCACCCCGGTCACCGACATCTTGGGAGATGGAAGGGGGTACGTTCCTAATCTCATAGCCCCATTCCCTGCTCTGTAGGGAAGAGACGGGAGGGAGGCAGAGGGTCCCAGTTTGGGGGGAGTAGAGGGTGCCATTCGTTCACCTCTGCTCCTCCCCCACAGCTGGCTGCTGGGAGCTGGTGAACCCCTGGTGCAGCCTGGTGATCCTCATTACCCACCTGAGGCAGCGGGGGCAGGTGCCCCAGATGGTGAGGGGGCAGGGAGGGGTGCTGGCAGAACCTCTGAGGGCCCCCAGGTAGGGATTCCAGCCCTGCCCTGCCTCCCTCTCTGCTCCCCCAGTGACCATAGCCCTCCTGGCTGAGGACGGGCACCTGGTGAACCTGGCTGAGGGACTGGAGGAGGGGCCTTCCCTGGCGCCCTCCATGGGCAGCCCCCTGCTGCAGGAGCGTGGGATCTATGTCCTAGTGCAGATCATCAGTAAGTGGGGCCCCAGATTCCCCCTGTGCAGCTATGCTGGAATATAAGATGGGGAAGAGCAGCCACAGACCACGCAAGCCCTGCCGAGCCCCTGCTTTGGCCAGGACCTAGCCCTGAACTTCCCATCCAATGCCCTGTCCTGACCCCACTGTGGGCCAGCAAACAGGTCCAGAGTGAGAGGTGGGGGTGTGGACTTCCAGGCCAGCCAGGAATCAGCCTTCTTCCCTCCGCAGAGGGTGGGGGCGGGGCCCCCACCTGCTATGAGTCCCTCCTGGAGAACCTGGATGAGCGGTGTCCAGAGCTGGCAGGTGAGTGTCACAGGAGAGCCCCAGGGGGAGGATGTGCCTTCCCACCAGTCCCCCACAGGCAGGGCTTCTGGGGCCTTCCAGAGGAGCTGCGCTGGCTGTCGGGCCTTCCCCTCCCCCGGGGCGATGGCTGGAGAAGGCGTGCCTGCACTCTGCGTGGCCACCAGGAGCAAGGCCCTCCTTCACGGCCCCGAAGGGTGGGCTTCCTGCTGCCTGGGACCCACTAGCTGGGGCCGAGAGCCAGGTAAGGAGGAGACATGGATCCCTGGGGGCATGCTCATACCCAGATATGGGACCCCTTCCCAGGGGACAGATGTGTGTGCTGAGAGGTGGACCCCAATGCCAACCCCCTCAGAGACACACATACACCCACACGATGGAAGACACTATATCCAGCGACAGGTCCCCACCATCCCGCTGGAGGCTAAATGCCTGCACAAGGGCGGGGAGATGTGGAATAGGGCCTGGCACACCATAGGTGCTCAGTGCAGAGCTGCTGAATGAACTCAGTGAAGGCAGCAGCACAGAGTGTGTGATGGCGTCTGAAGGGCCAGCACCTCTGTTCCGGCAGGCCCCGTGACCTGGCACATCACGGCCAAGTGGCCGAGCTGGACTCAGATCCAAGGGGGTTGGCCGTGACCTCTGCCTGGTGTGATCAGGTGCAAAGGCCCAGCAGTATTCCTCTTGCAGAATCTGGAATTTCTGGGAAATTGCAAGGTCACTGACAGAATGTGAGGCCGCCGCGGGGCCCCTAAGGTGTGGGTGCGGAGAAAGGGATCCAGAGGCAGAGATGAGAAGGGTGGAGGGGCAGGGGTCCCTGAGAGGAGACAGCACGCTCCTCCAGGGATTCCAGCCCCAGGAGTCAGACGCCCTTGAGGCTTATGGTCACCTGCTAATGCCTCACCACCCAGTCTGGACTGCCCGAGGCTGTCAGATTACACAGGATTACAAGGTCACCCTCCCCACCCAGGACACCAGGTGAAGGTGAAGCATCCCACTCCACAGTGGGACATCCATTCATCCTCCCCCACCCGCAGAAAATCCAATGAGAGTGGACACAGCAGGCTCGGATCTAACATAAACTATTAATTGCACATTTTCGTCTTGGATCATCTGTGGGGTGAGAAACCCTCTCCTCACTCCCAGTCTCAGCTATGTGGGTACAATCTGATGTCATGGTCTTGCTGTCGGTGAAGGTGTGAAAGTGGCTGCAGGGCTGGCCCCTGAATCTGCACCGGTCTCTTCAGGGCAGGGAGATCAGACCTGCAGAGGGAGGGCCAGCACAGGTGGAGGTCAGGCCAAAGGTACAGGAGGAGAGACCACCGCTCCCGCCCCAGCAGGGGTCAGGGCCTCCCAGCTCACCGTGGTTGTACTTGCACTGCTTCAGGGCCTCGCTGAAACCCTCACACAGGGTCAGGTCGCTCTGAGTGGTGGAGCAGTCCAGGAACTGCCTGATCTCATAGGCGCAGGGCCCCATCTGCTGGGGCTGCGGGGCAGCGCGGGCCGGGGCCTGAGGTTACAGCACAGGAAGCAGCAAGGTCAGCTTGGGGTTGGCACCCAGAAGAGGACTCCAGAGCTGGGGGTGCCAGCTGCCCCTCCTAACGCCCCCAGCCCTGCCAGGCCCAGCCTGCCCTGTGTAGCCTCAGCTGCTCCATCCCTGAAACAGGGTGAGCCCACAGCCCTCTCAAAGCCACCCTGTTGGTGCTGGTACAGACAGCATTCCCAGCTGCCTCATAACAGGTATGCTGGCAGGTGGGGGTGGGAGGTGAGAGAAGGTTCTAGAAAAGCCCAGTGCTCTGCTAGAGTATGAGCCCCACCCCCACAAGTTCTAGCACTTTCCTGCTCAGCAACACTGATCCTCATTACCCCCGACCCCACCACTAAGCCAGAATTTGGTTCAGGACTGGTGGGGTGCCCAGTGGGGGACAGGCCAGCAGGGAACAGACCCAGAGTCACTGGCTACCCTTCACCCTTGGGTGCAGAGGCTACAGGAAGGGGCTACCTGGGAGAGAGAGCACGGACTCAGGAACTTCAACATCCCTCCCTTCTACTAGGTTTAGGTGACCTTGGGCCAGTCTCTGAGACCCTAAGGGCCTCAGTTTCCCCATCTTTAAAGGGCTGGTTGGTGTCTGTCCACGGGGTCTAGGGACCTTGGCGTCAAGGGAGGGGCAGGGAGAGCCGTCCTGTGACCAGAGACCAACAGCAGAGCGACTAATAGGACCCTTCTTGGGCACAGTCCCTGGCCGAGGCAGCTCTGGACACCCTGGACACTCCTCGCTGGACGTTCCAGCAGCTCCCCGCTCAGTGGCCTTGAGAGAAGGCGGCCTCAGTTTCCCCTGAACCCTTGCTCACCTGCTGGGCAGCAGCCTGGGCGGGCTCTGAGCTCCCCCCGCTCAAGGCTCCGGTCAGGGCGCTGCCCACGACGTGTCCCACAGCCGAGCCCACGGCCACTCCGGCGGCCGTGGTCGCCATCTGCGCCATCAGGCCGGGCTGGCCCGACGGGGCGGGGGCCGGGGCCACGGCCGAGGGCGGCGGGTGCGCGGGCGGGTGGGCAGGGGGCGCGGCGCTGCGGCTGCGGGATGGGAAGAAGCTGGGTTAATCCCGGCCGGACTCCAGGCCGGCGGCCCCAGGGGCCCGCAGCTCCGGAGAGGCACCCTCTCCTCCTCCCCCCGGAGGGTGGACGACCACCGTCTTATAAGCGTGATTGCGGTACCCCCGCCCCTCCCCCGCCAAGATGGCGCAGCAGCCGCCAAGGTCACGCTGTCACGTCCTTGGGGGCCGCGCTTCCCAGACCCCACCTGCGGGCCCTCGTCCCGCTCCCACCTGGCTGGCCGGGCGCCCATGCTGCGGCTCCCCCGGGGCATGGTGGCGGCGGTGGGACCGGCTGAACCGAGTCGGAGACAGCAACGGTGACTGCTGTTCCGGTTCGGGGACGAAGGCGGCGGCGCCTGTCACGGCCGGCGCTGCTGGGCGGGGCCGGGGCGGGGCCGCGGGGACACGCCCCCGGCCGGAGGCTCGGGACCCGGGGCCAGGCTGCACCCTCGCGGGTCACCCGGCCTCTCCATCAGGCAGCACCCGTTGCTGGTGACCCTGCTCCCTTCCAGCTCCTGGCCCGAGCTATGTGCGCCCTGGGGACACGGGCCGCTGTCGCAGGGCGCCGAGGGCGTACGCAGGAGCGAAGCCTGGCCCTTCAAAGACCACCGCGGAGCTCTGGGAGTGGAGCTAGGGGCTGTCCCGCGCTCGGAAAGTGGGGCACCGGGAGGCCGGTCCCTGCTCCTCCCCCTCCTATCGGACCGGGCTCGCTGGCTCCGGCGTGGCCTCAGGGTCGCGGGTGGACTGGGCAGGGGAAGAAGCACCCACCCTCCGCGACGGTCCCCAGAGCTCCCGCCAGGGGGCGTCCGGACCGCTCTCGGACTCCTTCCCGGCAAAATCACTGCGGGGCGCGGGCAGCCCCCGCTGGGGTGCGACGAGGCCCCCTGCGTGGCCCTCCACCCAACCCGACCCCCTGCCCCACGGATGCAGCGCCAGACCCCTACAGCGTTTATGCAGCGTGTCCCTCCCAAAGGCCGTAACCTAGAGGTGTTTGTGCGGGTTTGAATCCTGTCGCCTCGAATTTTACCACCTTGGTTCTAGGCCCAGGGCAGGGCAATGCCGAATTTAAGACGCTTCCCAGCCCTTCGGGAACTGGATATTTTCATAGTCTTTTATTGCTACCCTTAGCGGGGAGAGGTCCTGACCTCTTTACCACCCCCTCATCACTGTCCCCTATGCCCGAGGGAGTCCTCCCAGCACCAGGACTGTGGGAAGGATGAAATCGCCCACAGCAAAATCATGGGGGAGGGGTCCCAGGTGGGGAGAGGAGGCCCCTCTGTGAGGAAGGGGCAGAAGGGACGGAGGGGACATGGGCAGTGCCTGGCAGACTCAGCATGTCTCTACTGTGTCCCAACCACACAGTCCTGTCAGCCAGCCTGGGAAGCAGGGCCCTCCCCTGACCCTCATCTGGGCCTGGGCCAAAATTTTCTCCTCTCTGCAGTGGGGGTGACCATTGGCCTCGAGGTGAGGGAAGCATGTGAAGGGTGGCTACCCTCTCCTCATAGACATGCCAGGCCTGGTCCAGCCTCCACCCCTTTGCTCATGCAGCCACTGACCACTTGTTCCTATTGCCAAACTGGCCTTCCTAGGCTGATCAGGGTCCTCCTCCTGCAGGAAGCCCTCTGTGACCAGCCCAGCTTGCTGTAACCATGGCTCTCCACTGCGGCCTACAACGTGGGAGGTTGTTACTTGAGCTCCCATGACAGGTGGACTGTGGTTCCGCAAAGCAAGGCCATGCTCCCCTGGAGGCACTCAAGACCACTTAAGGTAGTTACACAAATATATATATATATATATATATATATTTTTTTTAAACAAATATTTTTACTGTCTATATTTTCATGTGTATCGGAAAAAAACATACAATTAGCTCATCAAATCTATGATTTTTTTTCAAGTCATAACCAGTTTTATTGCAAAAGGACCCTGTACACATTTATCAATTCTAGTACCTTAATAGCTACCCAACAAGTCATTAACATACAGAAACATGCATCATGAGAAGCAAGAAATATCACCCATCCCTTCTACATATTAGTAACTTGTCACTCCTGAGCAACAGTGCTCACATCACTGAGGTCTGTGAACAGTCACTTTTTGCATTCATCCTGAGTGAAAGACGGAATGAGTTAAGTACAAATGCAACATATTATAAACAATTTTTACAAAAAAAGTCACAAATTAAACAAAGTATTTTACAGAATTTACTACAAAACACCATAAAAACTGCCTTCACTTAAGCTCTCTCTCCCTGTATCCGGCGAGCCAACTGGATGTCTTTGGGCATGATGGTGACTCTCTTAGCGTGGATGGCACACAAATTAGTATCTTCAAATAAACCCACCAGGTACGCTTCACTAGCCTCCTGAAGCGCACCAATGGCGACACTCAGGAACCTCAAGTTGGTTTTGAAATCCTGGGCGATCTCCCTCACCAACCTCTGGAAAGGCAGCTTCCGGATCAGAAGCTCGGTGGATTTCTGGTAACAACGGATTTCTTGAAGCGCAAGAGTCCCGGGCCTGTAGCGATGAGGTTTTTTCACCCCGCCGGTAGAGGGGGCGCTTTTCCTGGCCGCTTTAGTGGCCAGCTGTTTGCGGGGCGCTTTGCCACCCGTGGACTTACGAGCAGTCTGCTTGGTTCGGGCCAATTTCTTTCACCCAATGCCTAAGTTCTACGCCGCTTCTCCGACAGCCGCACCGCTCCTGCTGCCCAATGAAGAGCCGCAGTCTCCGAACTAATGGAAGAAGCTCCTCCGACTAACGACCAAACCGCTCTGCGTTAAATCTATGACTTCTTGACCAATGTGGCTAAAATGAGGCTGAAGTAGGCATTTCAATTTTTAAAAGTAAATCACTTTAAAGAAAAAGATGGCAAACAGCCCAGGTAGTAAAAATCACTGCTGTCTTTCCTCTCCTTGCCCTCTAGGGGTCTCTGTAGAGCCTCCCTGGAGAGGCTGTGAAGGCTCCCCGGACTGGAACCCGGAGGGAGGACTGAGTCAGCCAGTGTCCCTCTCCTCCCCCTCCCCACACTGCCTCCCCCCTTCTTAGGCCCAGGACGGGTGCCCACAGCCTCACACTGAGGCAGCTCAGCACCCCGCCTGCCAGGACGGGAGCCACCGCCTGTGTCCTGGCTCCCCAGCATTGCCCATGATGGAGCGGATTGCCTGGCAAGCTGGTGAGGTCCCTGGTCATCACAGGGAGTATATGAGCCTGGAGGATCCCTTCCAGAGTGTGGTCATCACCCCCTCCTCTGATTTTCACCTACTTATCCTCGGTCTCAGGAGGCTGGGCCGGAGGGGGCCAGAGGAGCCTGTTAGTCCCTGACCAAGGGGCAGCCTGGGCCCCCAGTGCCCCACTCAGACACTGCCCCCCATGGCTTTCTGACCGTACCCTCCCTCCAGCTGACCAGCTAGAGGGCCTTCTGACCCCTCTGCCTGCCTGCTGGTTTGGAAAAGCCTGATCTCGTCCCTCCCTCTTAGGGCTTCAGTTTCCCCATCTATAATTGTCTATGGTTCTGCGCCAAGCTGGGGTCCTGGCCAGCCGCCTCCATATGCCTCAGTTTCCTCTGGGGCACACTTTAATATCCCTTTCCTCACAGGGGCTATAGTGCCATCTTCCAGATGGATCAGCTGAGGCTCTGAGGAGTGGCAGAACTTGCCCGTGGGTACCGCCACCTGTCACAGGCTAACAGGAGGTCAGAGGTCAGGCCCCCAGGGAGACCAGCTAGGGATGCGCCTTCCAAAGGTGGCCTGGTCAGGAGGGGGAGGAGTGAAACGCGGCGCCTCTCAGACTCTCCACCGCATCGGGGAAACTGAGGCCCGGAGCAGCACCGGCTGGCCAGGGTCCCCCAGCACCAGGCCCCTGAGACCGCAGGGCTGGCCCGCCCGGGAAGGACTGGGTCCGCGGGCCGGCCCCCGCCTGGCCAGCCCTCCCCGCCCACCTCCCCCACCCTGGCCGCCAGCACGGGGCGAGTGCAGAACAAAAGACGCGGGGGCGGGGCCGGGCGGGCGGGGGCGGGGCGGAGGCTATAAGGGGCGGTGGCCGGCGCGGCCCAACAGGCCCAGCAGCCCCGGGGCGGATGGCTTGGGCCGCCCGGCTCCGCGGCGCGGCCCCGCGCGCCCTCCTTCTCCCGCTGCTGCTGCTGCTGCTCCCGCCGCCGCCGCTGCTGGCCCGGGCCCCGCGGTCGCCGGTGAGTGCCCGCCGCCGGCTGGCCACCCCCCACCGAGGGGCGCCGGGCACGCGGGCTGGGCCCGGTGGCCGAGCTGGACCCACGGGGATGCCCGGGGTGGCCCGGCGCGACCCGTTACCCAAAAAGTTGTCTGGGTCCCTGGGGGCGTGATAGATAGTGAGTTTCCCGTCCCTGGAGGTGTGCAAGTGGAGCCTGCGCCGGGATCGCTCAGGCTGGTGAGCGGGACTCCGCACCCCCCTCCCAGCTCTGGGACCTGCTCCTCGGCGGCCCGGCCGAGATACTGGGGTGTGTGTTGGGGGAGGTACAGCGGGAGTGGCTACAGGGCCCCCTATTCACTGCAGGGACAAAGCCCAGCAGGTCTCAGACTGGCGTCAGCCTCCAGATGTGTGGCCTCCGTGAGCACACCTCCAGGCTGGAGGGTTAAGGAAGCGCTGGGGAGGGCAGCCTTTGCCGGGGAAATGGGGTCTGAGCCTGGAGGAGGCGCCACCGCCTGGCACCTGAGAGTGGTGATATTGGGGAGCGTGGAGCCAGGAGGCAGCATGAGTGTGAGAGCTAGTGTGTGTTATATGAGTTGGGTGAGAAAGAAGGGGCCGAGAGCAGGGAGTCGAGACCCTCAGAGAGCAGGGCGTAGGGTCAGACAGGGAAGGGAGAGGAAGGAGGTCCCGGCATGTGTGACAGCCTGTGTGTGCCTGGGAAAACTGCACCCTCCCCTCCGGCTGGCGCTTGGGGGGACCAGTCCCAGGGGCGGCCAGGTGGGCCTGGGGTCACAGCCTGGGCAACTGCAGGCCCAGAGCCCGCTGGGTACCCAGCCCACTCAGACGCCCAGCTGAGCATCCAGCCAGCCCAGGCAGGGATGGGAGCATTAGGGAGGTGGCAGGTAGAGTCCAGTGAGGAGGGAGGTCTTGCCAGTCTGGGCCCCTCTGTCCAGTCACGCCAGCTCTGCCCTCCCCTGCCCTGGCTATAGGAGCAGAAGAGGACAGAAGGAGTGGTGGGCACCTCAGTCCAGGGACCCTGCCTCTTTCCCAGCCCCTCCTGGTCCCCTAGACCTTGGGGCAGAGTCAGAAATCACCCTGGGTAGCTGTTGAATCCATGGGGTTCGGGTATAGGAGAGACCTGGGTTTGAACCACGTGACCCTAGGTGAGCCCTCTGGAGCCTCAGCACCCCCGACCCCAGTCTTGTCTGGGTGGGTGGGAGGCAAGAGTGCCCGCTGCTGGGCTGAAGAGTATATGAGGTGAGGCCAGGAGAGGGCTCAGCCAGGCACACTGGAGACGTCACCTGCAGCTGCTACTTTGCCGCTCGTGCGGGTGTCAGTTGGGTCTGGGTCTGAGCTGGGCCGTTGTCTGTCACGCTGCAGATATGCAGGGAGCATTTGGGGTCGCCTCCGATGTGTTTATCCCCGGACTGCTGTTGGCAGGGCCAGAAAAGCTCTGTAAATATTTATCCATCCCAGTTCACAGCCTTCAGGGTTGATGAAAGCCCTGCCGCCCAGTGGGGTGGACGCTGCCTTCCCTTCTGGAGCCAGCGGGGGAGGTGGGGGGAGATGGACCTGCCTCCCCACTAGCGGTGTGACTTGGGCAGGTTGCTTGATCTCTCTGAGCCTCAGAGGGGCGTAGAATGGCGTGGTGATGCTCCCTGCCTTCCTCACAGTCTAACCAAATGCCCTCCCCTCAGGGTCACCTCCTGCCCACAGTATAGAGAGTAGCTATGAGTAACTGTCCCGCTGGACCAACAGCAAACAGACCCAGCACTTTCCAGTCTGGGGTCTTCCCTCACTTCCCCTCTGCTAGGTACCTCCCATTTTCCTAATTGGAGGTTGACCCAGGGGCTGACCCCAAGCCTCTAGCTCAGCCAGGAGGCTGAGTTCCCCAAGAAATTCCTCGAGTATGTTTGAGGCTGTGGTTTGGTGCCCGCCAGAGAAGGGTGGGGTGAAGTTGCTGGGCACCCTCCCCAGGGCAGGCTGAGGGAGGCAGCTGGCCGAGGAGGAGGCAGACCTTCTCCAAAGAGGCGCATTTCTCAGGAATGTGGATTTTGGAGACAGGCCAGAGCTGGGGGGATGGGGGGCTATGGGTGGGGAGGCATGAACCCCAGGTCTAGGCCCAGCTCTTGGCTGACTTGCTGTGTGACCCTGAGCCAAGACCTTGACCTCTCTGGGCTCTGTTTCTTCCCCTGGGAAATGGGGTGATACCTGCTCCCCAATCCCCCAGGGCTGTAGATGAGGCCAGGCATGGTCTATGCCCACCCCCCACCTCACTGCCTCCCAGATGCCCTGGGGGGACTGGCACACCCATCTGAGGAATCAGGTTGCTGCGTGCCAGGCCTTGCAGCTAGGGAGGGCCCCTGGCCCCAGGCCGGAAAGGACTGGGGAAGAGAGTGCGGGATGTCGGCAGGGCAGGGAGCATGTGTCCTATCCCAGCAATGGGAAACTGAGGCCAAGAGCCCTTAAATGGTGGGCTCCAAGAAAAAGACCCCACTGTCCAGGGGCCTTGATCCTAGTGCCTCCTGCTCATTCGCTCTCCAGTACCAATGAACGTGATGTGGGCGGGGAGCAAGAGGCCCCTGGCTCGTGGGTGGACCCAGCACGAGTCACTTTTCCTCTCTGGGCCTGAGAGCTCCCTTCTAGCTGCAACTCCTTTGTTACTATTTAAAGTCTGGAAACTTCAGGGGAGCTGTAGGGAATTGGGTGGAGCAGATTCCCAGGTGTGGGAGGGGAGGGCCCACGGGGCAAGAAGCCAGACCAGGAAGAGACTCTTCTCTGCGCCAGATGCTGCAGCGGGCATTACAGATGGAGGTCATTTAGCCCTTTGCCATGGCACCATTCCCATTTGACGGATAGGAGAGTCGAGGCTAAGAGAGGACAGTGACTTGCCCAGGGTCACTCCATCCAGGGTCTCCACAGCACAGAACTGGGCCTTCTGAATCTCAGCCCGTGGCTCTTTCTGCTGCACTGACAGTCCCATGATCCAGGGGTCCTCATGGGGGATCCATGAGGAGTTGGTGCCTCGTGGGAGCAGGAAAGGAAGGCACACCCACCCTCCCTCTGTGGCTGGCTGCTCAGGCCTCACTGGTGGGGCAGAGGAGAGGAGCAATTTCTGCTCGCAGGCATAAACAGAGCTTTCAGGCTGGGCTCTGGGCTGTTTGGGGCTCCCAGGAACGACGCAGCCCTGGCCTTTCTGGGGAGGGTCCTCAGATCCTGGCCAGGGTTGGGGGGAAGGAATCTATTTATCCTGGAGGTCTGTGGGCTAGACCTTCCTGGGGAGGGGAAGGTGCAGGCCGTCATGGCTCGTCACATAAGCCTGGGGTCCACATCCTTGATGTGAGACCTGGCATGCGTATCCTCCCCAACTTATGCCGGGGATGGGGGTGGGGGAGGTTCAGTGAACCTGCCTCCAGAGTGCCTGGGAAGTGGCAGGTACTTAATCATTTCCCCTTCCTTCTCTTCTGTCACCAAGGTGAGGCCAGCATGTATCCCTCCTCCAGGGGTAGGGTGACCCCAGCCTGAAGAGCAGAGCAGAGTAGCAAGTAGCGGGTGGGCTGTGAGTGCAGACAGCCCGCCACCTGCCAGCTGTGTCCCCCACAAGTTGTTTAACTTCTCTGGGCTCCGGGTCCTCACCTGAGAAATGGGGATGATGACTGCAGAGATGGTGGGAGGTCCCATCAGGGGCTGAGAGCGTGTCCGTGGAGCAGTTGGCAGCGTCCTAGCCTAGATACGGGTGAGCTGCAACAGCCATCAGTACTTAGTACTGGCACACTCGGTATGGCTGGGCTCTGTCAGGTGATCAGCCATTCAAGAAGCAACTCTGGGGCTCCCCTGGTGGCGCAGTGGTTGAGAGTCCGCCTGCAGATGCAGGGCACACGGGTTCGTGCCCCGGTCCGGGAAGATCCCACATGCCGCAGAGCGGCTGGGCCCGTGAGCCATGGCCGCTGAGCCTGCGCGTCCAGAGCACACGGAAGAGGCCACAACAGTGAGAGGCCCGCATACCACAAAAAAAAAAAAAAAAAAA